AATCTTTGGTGATGTAAATGGATAATTAGAACATAATTGTAAATCAAATGACCGATGACCATGCATGATGATGCATAAAATGTAAGAAATAAATCCCAATACCAGATAAGAAAAGCATGCCATAATCTCCTAATCATATCAAGAAATATCAATGAAATATACGTAATACATACTCCACTGTAGTAATGTCCATGAACTAGAAATAATACTAAGTAGAGGAATATACGATATTATCAAGGAGAATATATATATGAAATGAATTAGAAAATTCAACAATCTTTGAGGTCAATCCCATTATTGGCAAACAACTCATGGGTGTCCTTGGTCATATGAACTCAGGCATTATCCTACTAAAATAAGAGGTCCCCAATCTTTCCTGCAATCTCCTATAAGAGAGGTGGAGTGTGCTTACCCAAGAAAGTATTGTATATCCAACAGTCTACTTTGCTCTCTAGGATGGGTACTAAGGGACCCCACTGATCATGCCAAAAGTATCCCCATACTATGAGCCCAATGTCATTGGCATTCCCCCTTAGCTTGATATAATCAGTAAGCCATTTCTCTTCCAGTATACAAAAAACCCATTTCTGGACTGGGTTGATGAGCTTTCTAATAGTGCACTTATCATTATAGAGTATACTCTCGAAGTCCTCTGCTGTCCAATCCTTACATGCCAGAGCCCATACTAATCTCTTCTTGACATGAGTAGCAGTCAACTGAGAGCAGGTTTATATAAGACATTTTTTAATATTAGCTTCACACTGAACTTGCTCAATCATATGGATTGAGACATGGAGAATATGACAATTATGGAGTTCTAATTGTGTCATGCCCTGATCATTCAGAGCTGTATGGACTATGGCTCAATGCTCCCTCTGGGTGTGGATAATTGACCTTCCAGAATCGGAAGCATTCTCAATATGGCCCCAATCACATACCTGGGCGAGAAAATTGCTGACAGTAGACCAGGGGCAATTAACAAGCATTGGAACAACCAATATCTTTTTGAAGATAAGGAAAAAGGCAATTATCATGCCCTTTTCCACAACTGACATTTTTCTCCAAGCTGTCTTAGGCTTGTAGTGCAAAACTGACTTCTTCTTGGGCCGCATTTTGGTGTCACCTTCACTGATATCTACATGCTTCACTTTTCTAACATAGCTGAGTAATCACTGACTTAGTATCACTAAGACTTTTGTCTAGTGGCTGTATTACTAGCCCGGCTGAGTGCGTCTGGTGAGCCTACCGTACCGGTATGTTATCGTATGGATATGTCAACTTACCGTTCGAATCCTGCAGAGTAGCGAGTGATCGGCTGTGAGTATGCATGTCTCCCTCAGCTGTTCCGTGATAAACCGATCGGGCAGCATCCATTAGCCGCCAAAACATAGGTACTCGAGTACGGTACTCCTACAGTACTCGGACCGGTAATTTCTGTACGCACACCACCAGAGCTAATCACCGGCGATGTTGTGCGAAGCGGCCATAAAGAAGTGTACGCTCTTAAGTTGCTCCAACCGAGTTTAACCCAGTGGTTGCCGTACCGGTAGTGATACTCGCGTACACTCGGGCAGAATTTTGAGAGGCTAGCCTCCAATGATTGTGTTGCAAACTTGTTGTGTCCATTTCCGCTGTGCTTCACCGGCAAGACCTTGAAATTAGGGACGCACTCCGATGCTTGACGCCAGTACATAACTAATACATAATGGTGCGAATTTCCGGTTGGAGCCGCTCATGGCCTGTGGGTGTTGCCCGAAGGCACATTTAAAGACTAGCCATTGAACGCATAAGGGGTTTTCAAGGAATCTACAGTACAGCAAAGAGCATCAATTATCATCTGACGTATCCGATGAGTTGTAGGACTACATGCTTTACAAAAACTGAAACCAGCTAAAGCTTTTGATACTCTAGAACCTATCATTATCGGCCAGAACTTTAGGGATAGTGGGCGGGAGGGAGGATGAGTGCTTACCAAGCTTACCCTCCAACTTTTTAGCTTCTGCCACCTTCCTAACAGCTTTCGACATATCGTCTTGGGTGATAGCATCACGGTCGTCTCGGATGGCAAAGAACCCGGCTTCCGTTATCACGTTCCTAAGATCAGCGCCGTTCAACTGGTCGCTCATTTTGACGATACTCTCATAGTCAATCTCTCCCTCCTTCGCCACCGAGGCGGCATGGATTTTGAGGATTTCTAATCGGCCAACTTCGTTAGGTAAGGGTATCTCAATCTTTCTATCCAATCGGCCGGCTCTCAGAAGCGCGGGATCAAGGGTGTCCGGCCTGTTGGTTGCCATAATGATCTTAGTCTTTCCGAGGTAGTCAAATCCATCCAGTTGATTGAGGAGTTCCATGAGGGTTCGTTGGATTTCACGATCCGCTGAAGTCCCTTCACTAAACCTGCGTCCACCGATGGCATCAATCTCATCCATGAAAATGATACAGGGCTCGTGCTCTTTAGCATATCCGAACATTTCACGAATCAGACGGGCCGATTCCCCGATGTATTTGTCGACAATTGCTGAAGATACGACTAAGTTAAAAAGTTGGCGTTAGATAATCAATCAAAGAGCTGAATGCGTGGATTTATATGGGATGCACCTTTCAAGAAATTTGTCTCCAAGCTACTTGCTACGGCCCTTGCTAGCAGCGTTTTCCCTGTCCCTGGAGGGCCGTAAAGTAAAACGCCCTTTGGTGGCTTAATCCCAACCCTCAAAAACAGCTCCGGGTTCTTCAGCGGTAGTTCAATAACCTCTCTTAGCTCGCGAATTTGCTCGTTAAGACCGCCGATGCCGCCGAAAGACACCTGACCCGGATCCTCGAGTGACATATTGTAGACCAGAGGATCGACTTCTCGGGGTAACATTCTCATGATGGTTAGAGTTGTCATGTCTAGCGCTACACGAACACCTTGCTTGAGCTTTGTTTTGTCAACTTTGGAGCGGCAGCCGACAACATAGCGAGGTCCAGAGGAAGCTATCATTTATCGAATGGTTAACACCTTGCGATAAACCCAGCAAAAAAAATGGAGCCATTGTTGAGCTTCACCTTTGACAATAACTAGCAAATTTATTGTCAATATTACCATCTGGAGAAAAAAGGCAAACAGAGGGGTAGACACACATCGTTCATCATCCAGCTGTTTTAGCACCTCCCCAATAATCTGTCCAACACTCTGCAAAGCCTTAATATTCTCCTCGGTATGATCGAACTCCTTCTGAAGATCTTTAATATCTTTCCTCAAGTTTTTAAGTTTTGCATCCCATTCTCGGTGTTCAAGGAGCTATAGACAGAATTAGTACTATTATGCCCTTCACGGAATTGCAGAGGCCCCGAGCGCCGTGACGGATAGACGGTTAACTGGGGGATGAACAACCTTCAACTTGAACTCCGAAAGGGCCTGGTCTCTCTCGGAATCAGTCATGGTGGGCGAGGAAGACCAGGGGCAGATTTTCAGTTAATGGAGGTCCGGGGGAAGCAGAGGATATTGAATAGTTAAACCAGACGTGAGCCAGTCCGATGTGGATAGATGGATGGATGGAGTAGATAGTGACAAAGAGACAAACAGTGTGGGAGCATATAGTTGAGGAGCGAGTCCATATGTTCGTAGAGATACGTAGTTGTGGTACCAATGCCAAGCAGGGTCAAGAACAAGGAGGGTTGTGTGGTGGCTTGAGGCTGATTTTATCTTAGCCATCACGTGTCATTGACATGGAAGACTAGTATAGGTATGTACTTGTGCAAGTACCCGCATTATTGATAACGGTATACAGTAGTTGAGCTTGGCAGTACTCTGATTCCCTCGGTAAATTGTAGGCTTGGCATGCTGGGTGCCCAGGGGGCTGATTTCGGCCTTTTGTCGTTAGGGATAGGAGAAAATATCACAATAACTATTACGAGCACAGACATTGCCTACGCTCTCACTACCACCAGCCTATCCATCCTCTTCTTTGCCGCCTCTCTCACCACCTCCACTCGCACCCAATACCCTGGCTCCCTCCCCCTTTCAATTCATGACACCTTGTAAATAGGAAGTCTTCCACCCTCAATTCCACCTGGCCTTTCCTTTACCACTACTCCTTACAGATAATTCCTTTCCCAACTGTTAGTCCATCTTTATTTGTTTTATTCTCATGACTTCCATTGTCGAGACTTCTATCATGGCTCCAGCCAAGGCCTCCAAACAGGTTGCCAGTGATTGGCTTTGGGTATTTATCACGTCCCTTGTCTTTCTTTCTTTGCCTTGGAGCGTACTTACACTTGTCCTATTATTATTAGACTTATCATGAAGAGCCCCACCGAACTCGGAGACATGAGATAATTAAGGCCCATCCTGAGGTAACCTCAATCGGGTTGGTCATCAATATAAAGCACAAGCTGATCTAATCCGCCCAGGTTACCAAGCTCTGCGGTCCAGAACCTCTGACAAAATATGTTGTCCTTTTCGTGGTTTCCATCCAAATTTTCTGTGCCTACATCCTGCAATCGACCCCGGTATTCTCGTACCGGTTCTTTCTCACGGCATATATTGTTGGAGCAACAGCGAACCAGAATCTTTTCTTGGCTATCCATGAAATATCACACAATCTCGCTTTTCGCTCAGCTTTTGCCAACAGAATGATTGCTGTATTCGCCAACTTGCCCATTGGACTTCCTTACAGTGCAGCCTTTCGACCATATCACCTAACCCACCATAAGGCGCTTGGTGTTGATGGTCTTGACACTGACCTTCCATCGAGGTTTGAGGCCATTTTCCTTGACTCCGTGCTTGGGAAAGCGTTTTTCTGCACCTTCCAGATTCTTTTCTACGCTCTACGGCCTATGATGGTGTACCGGATTCCTTTCACAAAACTGCACTTCTTCAATGTCACCGCCCAGCTCGTTTTTGATGCCACCCTCGTTAAAACTTGTGGTTGGAATGCTCTTGTGTACCTGGTTATGAGCAGTTTTTTGGCTGGAAGCTTGCACCCATGCGCTGGTCATTTCATTGCCGAGCATGTATGAAATCCGTTCCATGCTTGTCTAATTATCAATATTTACAAACGCACTTTCTAGTATGTTTTTGAGAGGCCAAAACCCTCACCAAAGGATGCCATCTCCGATGACCCAGTACCCGTGGAAACTTACTCTTACTATGGTCCGCTAAACTTCTTTACCTACAACGTTGGACTTCATAACGAACATCATGATTTCCCCGCTATCCCCTGGACCCGTCTTTGGAAGCTTCGTGAGATCGCTAAGGAATTCTACGAACCTCTCCCTCGCCACACCAGTTGGTCCTATGTTATTTGGCAATTCATTTGGGATGGTGATGTTTCCTTATGGTCAAGGGTGAGGCGAGAGCAGTGGGTCGGGTCGGGACGCAAAGTCACTGCTGGTTGGACTAAAGAAGAGATAGGAAACATGAATGACGCTATAAAACGAGAGGATTAGAGGCCGTTCGGGGAATAGTTTTGCACGCTCCATATAATATCATAATAGACTTTTGTTTGGTTGGACTGACAGTGCGCTAAAACATTAATACATGTTTCGATGAACTAATAGATCCAGAACCAGCGGCATAGTTTAGTAGTGGGGTGAAGGCAGGCCAAGAATCTCGGAGTATAATAATAGGAGGCACACGAAGCAAGCAGTCGGCCAGCAGTCTGCAAACCTTGGACGGCAGATGGACCCTAGTGCCTCTCGTCGGATCCGGCGTGCCTGTTTCGGGGCAAGGAGCTTTCCCAAGCTCCATGCCTCTCTGTATGCTTAAAGCCGACAATAAATTGATCGTAAAGAAAGATAAGACTAGGAATATAACATTAATACCGTATCCATCTAAGACCCCAATACCTATCCAAGATTCCTTTTGTTCAACACCAGGAATCCCAGTCCAAGTACTTAAATAAAAGTAGGAGTATGACAACGATGAAGAATAGAATAACCCCCCCCCAAAAAAAGAGCGGAAGGGAAGAGAAGAAACCATCCACTCAATCTTTAAAGTTGATCAAGTAGGGATCATCCCTAAACTTTCTATACTCCTCCCTCTCTAAGCTATTCACACCAACCCTGATATCCATTCTGATATCCTCAATAAGCGCCTCCTTGCTAACATAATCAAACTCCGGCCGAATAAACCCCAAAATAACCAAATTCATTTGCACACCATAGAAGTCCTTAGGGAATGTGTGTACAATATGCACCTCAACGGAGCGAACAGAATTCTTGTAGAAGGGGTTCCAGCCGATGGACATGACCATGGGGAAAACCTTGCTATCCGTGGCGGTAGTAGTGGTAGTGGTGAACTTTTTGCCCTTGCCACCGTCGTCGTTGTCGTCGTAATCGGTGGTGGTAGCCGGAATGTCGAGACCAGCGTACCCATAGTAGATGCCAGACTCTACGGTCTCGCAACCGCCGACTCGAAGACCCTCAACTGGTATGTTGGCCGTTGGGATCTGCAACTCTTTGCTGCCGCGGCCGAAGCCTTTGATTACTGGGCCCGAGAGACGCAGTGGGAAAGGGTCTTCAGGGCCTTCTGCGGGCCCAACGGTGAGGGGACGTTCTGTGGCTGGGGCTCTCATTGTAGAGGTAGAGAAATGGAGGTAGAGGTAGAGAGGCTTGAGTGATCGATTGGAGAGAGGGGGAGAGTTTTGACGCCTCTTGGACCTCGGAAGCGATGATTTTCTGGGTATTTGTGAGGAATTGGAGGTTGGCAGAAGTGGTGGGGTAAGTGGGGCGGAATTCTCGCGGCAGGAGAAGGAGAAATATTGTGCCGGTGGTCGGTTGAACGAATGCAGACCGTTCCCAAGCCCTGTTTTCTCCGATGATGGGTTGATTGAAAAACACAATCCCCACAGATGTCGAAGCTTCTAACTTTGTTGTTGCAGCAGTTAGGTTGGCTTGACATGCCGAACACCTGTGGAAGCAAAAAGACCCCTCAGATGACACTGTACTGTACTAGAGTATTGGCACTGCTCGAGTACCGGTACGGTACTGCAGTCTGTCTATTGCGCATGCAACCTAGACAACTGGTACGGCAGCATACGACATCCAGATGGTGCAAATACTCAACCTTATATACAGCACCGGTACGACATCGTGCATGCGGTATAGTACGGTATTGTGCTCCGATGAAAAAAAAGAAATGAAAAAAAAAAAAGTGGGAAGCAGAAAAGAAAGGGAGAAACTCATACACACAAGTACTCGCTTTCCCGAATACCGGCACTAGATTGCACCAATTACGGCATAATTCGGGTGGGCGACACCGACAATTTATTCTACTATGCTCGAAATTAAAGAGGATACCGGTGCTTTCGGAGTTTCCTTCCATATGACCTTTGTCGAGGATCAAAGTAGTATCAAATCGTGCTATGAGAGCAGGGGGGAGAAAAAGAAAGAAGACAATGACAATAACTAATGAAGATAAGCGGAAACTAGACAAATGAAATAAAATGTTGCCGAAGAGCAGGTGTAGGAACACTCGTTACTACCTTGACCCACCTCCATCACCCCTGTGCTTATAAAATAGCGACGGGAGCAAGCTCAGAATCATCCTATGAAACATGCACATGAGGTGACAAATGTCAAAAACAGAGAGGAAGAAACGCGAAATCTCCTAGGAGCATTGTAGAGTACAGAGAAAGGGGAATTGCAATGGGAAGGGGGGAAAAATAGAATAAACATGGCCAATAATGCCATAATCCCACACAATCCAGCACGTTACGCCTCATCAGGTATACAAAGGAAATATTGGAAAATGATAGGTGGTTTGGCTGAGTCCCCCAGTACCTTGTACGGTTAAAAGAATAAATAGGCCAGAAAGAATGCGGCCAAGCACATAGCTGCGCAGGCTTGTACGGATATACCTTCCGGGGGGTGGGTAGCGAGGCCCACACCAATACCTCCTTCTGCCATAAGCTCCTTGGAATCTGGAGCCTCAGCAGTGGTTGGGTCTTCACGGGTATTCTGTTCATTGAGCTGCTGCTGCAGTTTCGCGATGGTAGCTTCTGCCTCAGCTAATTTGATGGACATATCCGGACCACCCACATTTCTACTTTGAGCCGGCATGTTGTACTCAGCAGCCTTGGGCTCCGGCTTGGGAATTGGGATCGGCTCCACAGACTGATGAGAGGATGGGCCTTCGTGTTGTGCTGGAGCGGGATCGGAGTACGGCGGAGGAGATTGGTGAGGTTCAAACTGCCGCGTGAAAATTAGTTAGGCTACTGTCATGCCAGTTCACCATTTTTCTTTCTATTCGGAGAACTATATAGACTCACCGGAACGTCACCATTAGGCGCTGACAATTCGCCTGGTTGCAAGAATACTACACGAATCTTCTTCTCTTGGATGGCAGATTTCTCATTCTTCTCGACGTGTGACCACTAGGGAGTATCAGAAACGAGAGGATCGATTTGAAGTGTTTCACAGAGGAAAACTCACAATCTGCCCAACAGTGTTGTACTCCTTATCCGCAGTGATTGCAACTGATTGAACTAAGAATTTATCGCGGCATTTGTAATCGGCGGGGGGATCTTCCTTCATTGCTTGAAGAAGGACTGAACACGGCATGAGACATAATGAAAATCCTGGGTATACATTGGGAAGGATAGTCGGTACCTTGGACTTCAACCTGTTTACCAACTTCTATACGGCCAGAATTAGGTCGAACACAGTACCTAGCCAAGGTTAGTACACAAGATAAAGTAGGCTGGAGACAGCTGGGTGACGCAGGCCTAAATAGCACTCACTGTTTCGGAGCCGTGGTTTTGACCTAAAAGCCAGAGATTCATGCTGTTAGCATAAACGCAAGACCCCAAGCGGGAAGCGCGGGGTCCGACGAACCTTGAAAGCGACAGGGTCATAGTTGGGGTTCCTGATATGAAGTGTTTGAATTACTTCGTGGTTGAACGGGCCTAAATTGAAGCTCGTTAGCTACCAATAGCTAGCGTGTGAGGCTGCGGCCTAAACCGAGGATACCGGAATCTCACGTTCAAATCCCAGTTCGGTGGGGTCGAGTTCAATGCTCATGGCTACTCGGCTTTGGGTGGGTTTGTAGGGAAGAAGAAAGAAAGGAAGAGAGAGAAAGAAAAGGAGAGTAATGAAGAAAGAAAGAACAATCTATGCTCAGTCGAAAGCGGGACGGGACGGGGAAAGGGTGATCTAAAGACACTAGTTGTAGTGGACGCTAAGTCAGCGGTGGGAATGGGGGGCGATGGTGATGGATGACGATGATGGTGATGATGATGGAAGGTGAATGCTGGTAAAGAAAGTGACAGGTGGTGGTGGGTGTGTAAAGCTGGAGGTGCAATGGTGGGTTGCTGTCCGAGGGGCCGTTTGGGGGAGATGTTTTGGGGAGGTGAAGGAAGAAGCGGGAGAGGAGGAAGACTTGGTGAGGTCAGAGAGGTAGCGGCGGTAGTAGTAGTGGTGGTGGAGGTGGTCCAAGGAAGATTTGGCTGTCTGCCAGTGTTCTCTCTCTTTTTTTATTTTACCCTTTCCCTCTCCCTTTCCCTTTCCCTCTTCGTTTTCTTCTGCTCTAGTTCTTTTTAGGCTTCTCCGTCTGTCAATCTACCACAGTCCAGTGTCGGTGTCGATGTCGGTAACTGTCTTGTCCTGACCTGAGTGGGTAGGCTGCTGCGTGTCGTGCTTTCGAAGCGTTGCAAGGTGTGTCCTGGAAGTGCCAACCAATTCACTGCACCGCCACGTTATATCTGCTCAGTGCTATCTACGTCTCTATTGGCTATGAAGGTCATACCAGCCGCCACACCACACCCCAAAAAAGTGCGGACCCCGCCCGTGACGTCGCAAGCCCTTGTTGCTCACAATCCTACGCTCTGCTCACAACCACAGCTGTAAATTCCCTGTATCCGTAGCACAATCGACCACAACCTCCGCTACCCCCCTCCTCTTCTTCCACATCCACATCCACACCCCCACCAACACATACTCTCTGTGCTGTATCGACGTTGCCAGGTATCCTCCACTCTCCATTTTTCCGACATTGTATCCTTACCTCTTTCTCCGTGCACTTTACCGGGTGGTTGGGAGAGCAAAAATAAAAATAAAAACCATACACCTTCCCTTCTTGAACAATGGGTCAAACAGACTATGACCTACTTGTCGAAATGGGCTTCAATCCTGAACGCGCTACACTCGCACTGAAAATGACTGGTGGTCGTGGGTAGCCCGGACCTCCGTCTAAAAGCTATTTGTCTCACTGACCCTCACTGTAGTTCAGGATGCCTTGACCTGGCTTGAGAAGAATGAGGAGACATCCATAGAACAGCTTAGAGGTCCAGCCGATCAACTACTCAATTCCGGTTCGTCCTCTGTCGCTGCCGGTAGTGGTGGGGATGAGTACGATGGTGATGAGAAGCCCGAGATTCCTGGTACCGCTGCTAGTATCAAATGTTCCGAGTGCGGCAAGCTGTTTTCGGATGCAGTTCGCGCAGAATACCACGCTACAAGAACGTGAGTCGGAGGAGTCTGGGCAGAGCCTTCCAGCTGCCATGGGACCATTACCGTACACATTACTGAAGGTTGAAACAGCCAGCACACAGAGTTCGAGGAATCTACGGAGATCATTCAGCCCCTTACAGAGGAAGAAAAGGTTGCGAAGCTTCGGGATCTTCGGGAAAAGTACTTTCAAGCTTGAAAATAAGTCGCTGTCTATATGTACTAATTGTTTTCTTTCTTTTTCTTCTTTTTTTTTGCGATCAGATTGGCCGAGAAGAGAGTCGCGCAAACCCAGCAAGATCGCGAAGAAGCGAAGAAAAACGAGGTAAGGGTCTCCAATAATCCCAGTCCCTTCTTATGTTTCTAACTTTAATAGTTGATTCGTCGCAAAAAGGGTCAGGAATCTGAGAAGATTAAGGAGGAACTAAAGAAAAAAGAACAGCTCAAGGAAGTCGAAAAGCGCAAACGGGAGAAGCGGGAGGAGATTGCTGCCAAGGAAAGGGTTCGTCAACAGATCAAGGAAACGCAAGAGGCCAGGAGAAGACAGGCCGAGAAAGAGAAAGCGGCTCGAGAAGGAAAGGTGGTAGAGGAGCCTACGGTTGCAGCGCTGAAGCCCTCAGCTCCAAGAACTCCCACTGCTCACTCGGAGACTCGTTTGCAACTGCGTTTGCCGACTAGTCAACCGCCTTTGGTTAGGACCTTTCCAGTTGAGACTACACTCTTCGAGGTAGCACAAGCTGTCAAAGAAGAAAGGGGTGATTATCTCTATCCAATCTCCTGCCGTATTTTTACAGCAACTAATTTACTCATAATCGACGCAGGATTCAATGTCTCTTCTTTCACCATGACCTTTCCTCGAAAGGTATACCAGCAGGGAGTCGACTTTGGCATAACACTTAAGGAAGCCGGGATGGTTCCATCCTGCGCGCTGCTTGTTAATTAGTTGCGAAGGTGACGCCACCTTGGGTCGAATGGATATCCCCTCCGATGGTGTATTCTTAAAAAAGAAAGAAAGAGAGGAATCGATTGGAGCTTTAGAAAAATTCAACGGCACATTCTCCCATAGTTCTGGACACTAATGAGAAGTTCTACCTACAGTTTCAAGGCTTCCCCGACAATCTTGCTGGGACACTTTTCCATTACACTCTTGTTTAAGTAGCAGTGGATGTTGTAAACATCGGACACGAGCATACTAGCACCTCGGGCAATAACCTTATAGCAATGTGGGCCAGTGGTCAAGCAGCAGATCAAAAAATTATGTATACAAAATATTTGCAACTTGTCTATGGGAGCAGGTGGTTGAAAGTGTAGTCGGAGCCGGCTTCCCGTGGCCCATCGCTAGGTGATCTGGGTGTGATATTCAAATACTCCAGACCGGTTCGCGATTCGTATGCAGGTGATATGTAGGGATCCTACGTGGTCCTGTCATGAAATGGGCTGGCGAATGCCATATTTAGATTTTACGGGGGAAGGTCATATTGAAAATGGAAAGGCCCATCGCTGATGGTGTCGATGGGGGAAACAAAGGTCTGTTTACTGTATTGGGATTTATGGGAGTGATTGAGTGAGGGAGGAGAGGGATCAGAGTGTTTTCGACACTTCATGCACTTGGGCGCTGGCCGGGAGTTGTGGCATGACAGGACCTCTGCCACGCGTTTTCTTTGATCACAGCAAGAAAGTAGACGGGTCCAATGAAGGCGGAATGGACCGTTTACGATTCCAGTTTCCATCTACTCGTACAGCGCCCAACTGTCCCATATTGACGGGGGAGGGAAAAAAAAGAAGGAAAGGAAAGGAAAGGAAAGAAAAAGAAAGAAAAAAAATAACACACGCCGAGTTCTTGGAGAGACGCAGGATGGAGGATAAGTGATCAAATCAAACTCCACTGGAACTCAGTAGAGCAGCACAGAATATTATCGTATGAGGCGTACGAGCACCGCACATACCGATTAGAAGCGCGGTGTCTCGATTCGTTATGCTCACGGGTAGTTTACCTGGCTGGCGGGGCAGGTGGGATGGTGGTACATAATGTCGATACTCCCGTGCAATCTGGTCTTCGATGATGACTTTCAATTCTGCTCACGATTCCCTGCTGTCCGGCATTGGGATAGAGTGACCCTTACTCGGGGCAGCGAGTAGACTGGAAAAGAAGGGGGAGGAAGATGAAGGCATAATCATCAGCACTTATGTTGTATTGGTAAGGTTCTGTATGCAATGGCTCAATGTGGGGCCAATGGGCTTCTCATGATGCGCATAGAAGTATGTAGCCTTGCGGTAACATTTATTTTTCGAATCTCCAGGAGATATTTGCCGAACAGCCTATTAGGAAAAACTGTGTCAAGATTCGGAGGGGACCACGGCCGGGGAGCGTGTAGAGTCCGAGTATGGACCCTCCCGCGGGTACAGCGAGCTGTCTACCCATGGCAGCGAGCAACGAAGTGCGATTTATCGCACTTACCATAGAGTAACGGCAGCAGTGGGTCCCTTGTCCAGATGCAAATATCTATCGATTCTACTGATCGCTACAGTGCATAAACCACCCGGATTCCTTCACCTCCTTATTCCAGAAATTGAATTGTGCAGGAACAGAATACCGTATGATAAGGATAGGTCAAGCTATTCTCGAGTACCGGCACAGGCACTACCAAACTAGCGCTACCGCGGAAGTTCTTACGCCGCGTGGTATAGATTAAAAAAAAATAAGGAAGGAAGGAAGAAGGAAAGAACAGAAAACCGACCCAATGCCCTTCAGTTCTATTTGACAGTGTGCCCGCGCAGTACGACTGATTGGGAAAAGCATTTCAAATCTCTTGGGAAACATCAGGTATGCAGTATTTACGATCACCACCCTTGACAAAAAGAAAAAGGAAAGGGAGGAAAGGGAATTGCTTGAAGCCAGTTGATATCATGGTTCTCCAAGACCTTCCTACCGTATAATTATGTAAGACGAACTGAGGAATAGGGAGGGTATCATAGAATGTCCTTCAGATTATTGGATTGAGGAGCTACCCAAAACATGGAACTTTTAAGCCGAGCCATTACAATCAAAAAAAAAACAAATACGCTTTTCCCCTCCATGCCTATTTTTTTTTGATAGGCCAAAGGAAAGGTTTCCCATTCCTGATGATATACTCCTTTGTTGCTGAGAGCACGGTGCTTGACGGGTTACACATTTAGTTATGCTCCACCATATCTGATTACGGTAGACCAACTGAGGGGGGGGCGATGTGTCAAGGGGCGGCAGTGTGAGTACGAGTAAGTTACCCGTGCTATCGAATTCGCGGGCATTAGGGACTCTGCGAAAAGACTCTGGATGTAGGTCAAACAGGGTTCTGGGCCAATGAGATCGCTAGAATTTGACTCTGGATGCGAAATCGCAAAGTCTCTATTATGTCAGTATTCCGAAGAAAGAAACTAAAGCCATCAGGGTATGATAGCGGAATACGGTAGGTTTGCGGTATCACGCTCATAGGCTAAGGGTGGATTACTACAGTAGGCACGTGGAACTTTACGGAGGCTACGGTAACGGTAGGAGGGGTATACAGCGTTGGTAATATAGGTACTGTATAGGTGCTCGTACGAGTCAGTTTATTTGACATACCATCCGCCCATCCGTGGGGTGCGAAGGAGGACATCTTTGGGAATGATTGGCTACGAGGAGGGACAGGCGGATGGAACGTATCTAGTTTTTTTTTTGGTTTTTTTCTCTTCCTTTTCTTTGCTGGAAAGTTTGAGAAAGCGCGAGAGGGTGGGTGGGTGGGGGTCTCTTTGGCTGCTGGCCATAGAGGAAGCTGTAGAGATCGATAGGGTACTGTACGTTACGGTAGCAGCACGGTGGTGGTTGTTGCCACAGCGCGGATGTGTGAATGATTTTGTGGTTCTCCGTAGGCGTAGAATACGGTACCGTACTCGAGCACAGCACTGGTACAGGTACATGCAATGCTGTTTGTAGTACTAGCACAGTACTGTACTATACCGGTACTTGAGCACAAGGTGTTGATGATATTTTGTTGCCATACCGGTATTTGGGGGGTGCGAGCGGTTTCGATAGACGACGGTGCTAGTGACGAGTTGAAATCCTTGATCAAGGATTCGACCTTGTAGGCATGATACTTGTAGTCTTGGGTTAACCTGTGCGTTTATTTGTTTGTCCTTTCTCCTCCCATGGCTGTCGTATGCGTCGTCGTAAGTGCTCCGCCTAAAAAAAAGTGGAAAAAAAGGTCTCGCTATCCATACCCCTGGTACCCGTTTAGTAGTACTAGTACAGTCCGGTCCAGTCCGGTCCGGTCTAGTACCGTACAGTACAGTACAGTTTCCGGCACAGTACGAGTACAATACGGCAAATTTTCTCCGTGCAGTTGCACTACCATAGTTCAGTACCGTACTTTGTAGGCGGGCATTTTTTCGTGCTGTACTGTACTTGTGTACGAGTACTGGCAAGCACGTCCTATAGTCTACATTCATTCGATCCGCCTTTTACGCCCATCCACATTCAATCCATCCAGCTCTATCGTATCCCTCCCTTTTTTCCCCCCCCCCCCTCCTCAATCCTATCCCCCAGTTGGCTCGCCTTACATCGCCTGGCCACTGCCGGTTTCCTCTTTTTTTGCCCTCTCCCGTTCCTCCCTCTCCCCTTCCTTTCCCTCCCTCTTCTTTTTACTCTCTCTTCCTCTGCCCTCGATCCCCTTCAACTTCTTCACCCCCATTCCCCCCCCCCTCCTCACACTTTCTTTCTCCGTCTCCGGACACACACCCAGCGTCACACAACTTGGGAATAGGTTTCCCGTGCTTCGGTCGTTACTTTCACTGCTGTGCTAGCACTCATGAACACCATCATGAATCCTCTTCACTTTCATCACCCCCCGTCACCCCCCCGACTCTCGCCCCCCGTATGGGTAAGCTGGATCTCCCCCCTCTCTTGTTTTGTCAAGATTTATTTCTTCTCCTTTGTCCTCTTCCACTTCTTCTTGCACTTGTATGTTTCAAGTGCGTTGTCAAGTGTTTGTGTTGCCGTTGCTTGTTTTGAGTGTTTGGGTTTGGAACTTCAGCTGACCATTCTCCCAGGGGGGAGGAAGAGAAAGGTGGATGATGACGGGCGGCCTGACGACAGTGGATATCCCGAGGACGAGCAAATGAATACCTCCCCGTCCCATTCGCCGAATGCATATAACCGCCCGACCCATTCCCAGAACAGAATCAAGAGGCAACGCAATAATGTCTCCGGCCGCCCACTCCCATTGTCCCGTCTACTCGAAACCGTCGATGTGAATGCTCTCAAGTCGATACTGCAGGTTATGTGCGATCGACATCCCGAGCTCACAACTGAAGTTTCTTCACTTGTTCCTCGACCTACCGTCTCTTCTGCCCTCTCGACTCTGAACAATTATGAGTCGTCTGTAAGATCCGCGTTTCCTTACGGCGGTAATTCTACTGGTGATTATGCGTATAATCGGGTCCGCCCCGCTCTCATGGAACTTCTCGATGCCCTGTCGGACTACACACCGCATTTTCTTCCCCCAAACGAAGCCCAGGCATCCACCAGCTTGGCTTTCCTCGACGAAGCTACCAATATCATTCATCGCTTGCCTACTTGGGATAATCCCGTTCACAATCATTCCAAGAATATGGCGTACGAAGAAATCGCAAAGGCATGGGTTTTGGTTGTTCAGGAGGCAGCTAAGCGTGGTGCTGGGATTGGACTTCACACTGGGGGGTGGGATATGAAACTTGGGAAGCATGTCGAGCAGTCGGGAGGAAGGATGCAGGCAGCCCTGACTCAAATGAGGCAGTCAGTAGGTTGGATGGGAGATTCAGGGAATGGTCAGAGGCGTATAGGCGGATTGGGTTTTAACATGCATTCCACTGGGGTTCAGGTTTCAGTACGCAGCTGGTAAATAATCATGGCCTAGGGTTGTATTTTTTTTTTTTTTCATTTTTTTTCAGGATAATGGGGAGGTTTAATTATCTGCCTTGTGGTTTATTACTGCTTGGGAAGCAATAACCCCTAGTGTCTCTGCCTTTTATTCCTATGTCATCCCTCTGTTGCTCAACTTTTCCTTAACTTTTTCGTAACGATTTCCTGCATTCATGCCTCCAGGGCCGGATTTTCCTTTCCTTTCCTTCCTTTCCACCCCTTTTTTTTAGTTCCATTTCTATTCTTTTCACGTATTTACTATTTACTTTCCTTGTGGTTTATCCATCATGTTGTCTCATTTGGCTCAAGTTCCTCATTGTATGTAGCTTTATCTGAAGATAGACTGTGTGGATGCACTCATGTCACTAACAGTATTTTTGTACATTGGAAATACAGCCTATCATGTCAATCTTGGTGGTTCATGAGTCGTGGTTCGATTGAGAGGAATGAGGGCGAAGTATGAGGTAGACCTTCAGCAAACGCGAGGGAGGGCATTGGGTCATCAAAGATCGATGCCTAATGGATAGTGGGTTATGGTTATGGTTATAAAAATAAAATGAAAGCGGGAAGCAGGAGCGCTGCGGCAGCGTCTGGAACAAACTTTCTACAATAGAACCCTTAACACGATGCTAAACACCAAAGCCGGATCCTGCCACACATCATCCTCGTCTCTAAGCCTTCTTCGCTCTCTCAAATTCTCCTCGCCAATGGTGTCAAACCCAACATTATGACTTCTAAACTTCGCCTTCTTAGCCAGAGCCTCCTCCTCCTCCTCTTCCTCGTACCCATCAAGACTTTCGTCATCACCGGTATCATCCTCGGCAAACATAGTCCATCCAATCATCCTATCGACAAACTGTCCCAATCCGAACCCCTTGGCGATGTCAATCTCCTCTTCCTCTTCCTCCTCCTCCTCTTCCTCTAGCCCGCGCTCCTCGTCCAATTGATCGAAGTAGCTGTTGCCCCCACTCAATCCTTCCAACGTGTAGCCCCCATCGCTGAATACCCTTGATGGTCTCTTCGCGGGTGTTATTGTTCCAGCTGTAGTGGCAGTGAAAGTGTTTAGGATTTCATCGTCATCGCCATCTCTGACCAGGCTGGTGCTACTCGCGCGGGAGACCAGCCACGACTGGCCCTTGAATTCCCGGGTCTCGGTTGTCAAAGCTGCTCCGGTCCTCTGCAGCCATTCAGTGGAATTACTGCGGTGCGATAGATGTGACGAGGATTTCGATTTCGGCAAACCAATGTAGGAACCCTTTCTGGACGAGAAAGAGTGATTTCGGCTCAATATTCCCGGTGTAGTGGATGCCTGCATTTTTCATTTTTTTATCAATATTGCCTCGCGCATTAGCCAATTCCCTCGATTTAAGATCAAAAAGCAGATTTAGTAGCAGCATGGCATGGTATGACTATATACCGATAGGCCCTGGATATAGCTCCCCTCCCTACCCCTCCGCTCTTTCCTGCGGAAGTCCTGCTCTGTGATCACAGAGCCTGACGTCAGCGGGGATAGGGACATCTGGCTGAAGTTGATGTTTCCCATCGACTTGAGCGAGTGCCGTCTGCTGTGCGCTATGGAGGACCGTGGGGACACGGCTGGGTCTGCCATTATCGCTGCGAGCGTCTTATCTGTTGCTGGCTGGAGGAATATGGTGTCTGATTTTTGCCAGCCGGGAGCTAGCGGTGGCGGTTGTGGTGGTGATGGTGGGAACGGAGGCTGGCTTTGGACCGGCACTTTGAGTGGAAGCTCGGTTGTTGCTGTTGCCCAGGGCATGACTACTCACTCATACTCTCTTTTGTTCTCTCTCTCTATTACCGGTATTTATCTTTTATCTTTTGCCATACCACAGCGCCAGCAGAGTATGAATGCGGTACTGGTATATCTTGGATGGTTACCACCTGAGGGCCTTGAATAGAAAGATCTGAAGGGGGTTTTTTTTTTGCTGGTGATGAAACGAGGGACTGTGACGTTCATTTGGAATTTATATCATCCTGGTGGATGTTTACGCGGGGTATAAACTCGGAATTTCGGCTCCTATGGTACTTTTTATTTTTATTTTTTACCTTGGAGGTGTTATGTTGCTGTCCTGTAGCTTGTATGGTTCAACATTCTTAAAACCCGGTCCATCCAACTACGGCACATACAAACCAGCAATAAAATAAGTCCTCTCAAACGATAAATATCGGAGTAAAAAAAAAAGCCTGAGTATCCTGGAATGAGGATATCAGTTCTCCCTCACTTTTGTTTTTGCTAAAATAAAAGATAAAAAAAAAGAAATTGAAAAGAAAAAGAAAAAGGTGGTATGAGGATGAAACATGTACAATACCGAAAAGTTCAGCACAGCAGACTAAGAAGGTGGGGCTCCTTGGATAGACAGTCCAGCAATAATTGTCTTCAGAAATAATTTAACATTTTTCTAAAGGGAAATCAGTCACATAAAAGTCTACCAGTACTGTACTACCTGGGTAACTCAGTACTCAAAAGTATTGTCCCATACCCCATTTTCCCGGAAAAGTCGGTATATTGATTAGCTGAAAAAATTGTGAAAAAGGAATACTTAAAATTACTTAAAATTGTTAAAAGTGGGCATTTAAAAGGAAACACATTTTATGATTTTTATTTATTTTATCTCTTCATTTCATAAAGATGGTATTCATTTTCATATAACGGTTAATACAGAATACCAAACCCCCATATAAATTTGGCTAACTTTAGTGGAGATTTACTTTTCATAATACCATGCCTAGATAAATCCAGGTACAGTACAGATGGGTTTTTTATACAGGGATGATGACATCCTGGCATGGCTTCTCACTAACCCGCAGGAGTTAAAAGACCCTCTGGACCTCTTGGTACTGGAGTCGCGTCAGGACAAGGAAGACGAGCATGACCAGACACCGGAGTCTGCCTATGGCAGACATCCCTTTTTCCTCGGGAATGTCTGGAACCACTAGGCGCAGGTGGAGGTCCTGGAGGAGGAGCAGGAGGAGGAGCAGGAGGAGGAGCAGGAGGAGGAGGATGAGGATGAAGCGTGAGAGGATGCTGTAGTTGTTGCGCCCCGAGCAGGGAGAACAATTGTCATCGAGGATGATCACCAGAAGGTAAGTTCCGCACCTAGCTTCTTTCATTTACTAGAGAGTCAATCGCTAATTATATATAGGATGGACATAGCACCTTCCTGGAATCTGGGAGTGAGTATACTCCCCCCCTACTCCTACCGTAGTCCATGTTTTCCCCAGCTGCTAGACCCTCCCATGCGCCCCCGTCCCATGATGCCGGAGCACTAAAGACTGACAACCTGGAATCCTTCCCCCCCAAGAAGGATGTGGGCGCTGAAGCGGTCTGAGGAGGAGAGATGGAAGTACCTAGAGGTACTGCTGTAACGATCCTAAGTAATAGAGCTATGGCAACCTAAGTCTACACTAATACATAAGAGCTTGATGTCAGATGGTAGACTAGGCAGGCATGTGGGTGCATGTCCAAGGGATATCTGATGGTCCAGATATTCCAAAGAACAGAAGGTACTTATGGGATAGGTGTACCTAAGTAGTGGAAGTAATGTGACTATATCCGCTCTGACCTAAGGATAAGTCAGAAGGCTGGGTGAGTTTACCCTGTCTAGGAGAGTCAGGTTACCCTACCATAGAGACTAGTTTCGTGTCACCATGGAAATACTTACCCTACCTTTGGGACACTATTACCCTACCTTCAGTCAGAAATGTTCTTGGAGGAATTCCGAGAAATGTTAGGATTATTTGTTATACGATGAGGATCAAGGGGCACTTGCTTGCAAATTGATCGAAAGGCTACGGGAGGAGCTATAGTGCTCTGAACAAGCTGTAACTTGGCAGAAGTATTCCTAACAGGTACCTGCAGCCCTAGGGTTCACCCCGGGCATCATGGGGCAAAATGGTTGAAGTTGCTGTCATACTAGTTAAATGGAGTCTATGAAGACATGTCCATAACACTGTATATGTTGCTGCTGTCCGTCCGACCAGAAGCTGTTCACAGGATATATAAGGGGGCTAAGGTGAGAAGGTCAGGGACCTTCTTCAAAAAGAACGGAGTAAAACGGACCAAAACTGAAGGAGTTAGTGTGAGCTATCCGAAAGGGTCCCCAGAGTAGTTCTGGGTAGTGCTGGAGACATCTTGGAAGGTTTTACGCCAATCAAGCCTACACGTGCCCTTTTGCCATAGGCTCTTTGTAGGTTGCTTGAGGACTCTAATAGCATGATACTTATTATGGTGAGTGGTGTGCTGGGGGTAAGGGACCATGGGTAGCGCCAACGGGTCCCACCGCTACGACTGCTCTTTATGGGAGCATTGTAGACCTTCTAAGTTCACAGTCAAGATAGATAGAACTTAATCAGAAGAGAGCTGATGTCTGCGAGTGCTTGCATAGGTCATAGCACATGGGAAGAGAGTCATTTAGTTAGCTTTCCTAGGTGGCTTGACAGTTAGCCACTAGCGAGACACCGATGCGCAGAAGTTTTCACTCTGGCAGGTGTGTTGGTAAATACCTCACATGAACTGATATGCATATAGGAAATTTCTACTAGAGTGCGCTGACACCTAAGGCCCTTTGGGGATACGGTAGTGGTGCTGGCAACCCTTACGGAGAAGGGCATGCTCATACTCGTTGGGGTAACCTAATGGAGAAGTTTTTGGTATAAGTCTGACTACTCAAAGATTATACGAGAACTCTCCTACCCCGACACAATCAACATCCTCTTGAGTGACTTTAATTGAGATAAGCCAGAGCTTAATGATATTAAGTTTTACCATTTACTTTTATTCTATAGACCTTGCAAGAGCTGTATTCAAGAGATTCGAAGTTTGGTGCGGTCGCATCGTTAGGAACCATCTACTAGAGGTCACCATACATCTACTATCTGAAGTATAATACTGTGTAGTTATATGAACTGCCACAGGACCCTGCAGCTGTCGAGCGCAGGGTTGAATATCTCTTAGAAGGGGATGGGTTTATGTGTGAGCAAGTCAGGTACAAGGTTGGTTACTAGCAGCCGAATTGGTAGACCTTGGATTCTGGCTAATTCAGACTAAACTGTACACAGAATCTCAGTTTCAGATTGCTTGCACCTCAGATCTCTGATGCTATCTATGGCAAGTACTTTGGAGGAAAGAAAATGCGAGGTATTCTAGAACCCGACTTTATAACACAGATCAACAGCACTAAGGTCTGTTTGACTTGTGCTATAATGTGCCATAGACTTAGGGCATTGCAGATGGGGGCATACATGAAAACGAGGGACTTCAAGCCTGATGTAGCAGGAGGTAAGATGCTCAAGAAACTTTTCATGCAGCATTTAACACCGATCCTACTAACATGTCACTCCCATGCAAGACTTCTTTATGAGGCAGATTCAAACATGGTGGAAATGTGCAGCGTGGGTACAGGACAGGATTCTTGTAGGAATCTGGTGGACTATTACTCAAAAGGTTAAGCAACAATATGGCGTCCAGGAACCATGATGGAAAGGCCACCATGATGAGTAGGATGTTGTTGTAGTAGAACTGGAGAACCAGAAATCCAGGCAATCCTACTGGCAGGTCCGCCAGTAAATCAATACCACACCTGAATGCACCATGATATCACAACTGGTATGCCGACATAGTCAGAATCTATCATAGGATACAGATATGCCATTTGATTTTGGCGAGACATCGGGGATCCCAGTGCTAGCATTCTGATATTGTGGGCAAAGCAGCCAGGATGATCCCCTAGAGTCTGGCATTTGTCATGGCCACCCGGCTATGGAGATGGAACATGCATGGATTTTTGGTTGCATATATTGGTTGTGGTTTTCTTGGTTGCATAGTTGGATTTCCTTTGTATAAGCGAATGGGAGGCGTTGCTGCGCAATGGAAGATGGTAGAACCTGACGGAATGATCGCGGCTGCACGTGACGCCAAGGACTTTCTTTCGTATCAGTGATCATGGAGGATTTCCTTAATATATAAAGGGGTGTGCCCCTTTATATTTTACTTTCTTTACGCAATCTGGTAATCACCTTCAGACACCTGTACCTACGAATTACACCTTCTATTATCTGGTGTCCTCTTGAACCCCTGAACCCTAACCCTGAACCCCGGAACCCCAAACCTCGTACAACTTGCTTTGGTTGTACCCCCGCACCTAGACCTCGTCTCCAGAATCCTGCCTACCCT